GGCGGTGGCCCCTGGAAGAGACTTTTTGAAACATTTCTCTAAAAATCAATAACATCTCCACTAGGCAAAGAGGATCTCTAATATAGTTTTTATGTTATTATTTTTCCTCGCACATTGCTACATTTCTCAGAGGCCAACGGAGGGAAGATGGATTTTCTCTTCGACTGGATGCTAAATGTGTTTCTGAATATGGCGGGTCAATGAGATGATGCAAAGCCTGCACTCTTAAAAAAAAAGACTTTTTAACATCTATAAGTGCAGTTGGAAAACTCCTACATTTACATTACTCTTCAAAAATATCTAACTTTGAGCCAAGAGAACTTGAAATACATTTATTTCTGTAACAAGCTGCAAAAAGTGTTAATTGAGGACAGGATTATAAAAGTTAAACTGCAGTTCATCACCTAAATTTGTACTAATTACTATCATTTATATCAAGCTTTAATGTGGGCACTGACAGGAAATCCCATGACAGAAATACTGGTGCAGTTTGGGGTTTTATACAGCTCAACAAACAACACAATCATTTCAAGTAAAACACAGTTTTTACCTTCTGTACCGAGCCTGCGGTTCTCTGCCTGTCCAGACTGCACACCAGCTTCACAAACGTTTTCACCATAAACACACACTGACTTCTTCAGGTGTGTAAAGTCAGTTCAATACGCTCACTGTCTCAATATCTAAAGCAACGGGGACCTCTGTTGGGTGGAATAATCATGACATGTTTCAACTTCAAGCAGAACACAGTCACATTCTGGATTTAATGTTACCTGCTGCAGTTTGTTTGTTTTGTGCATGAAGATATGCTTCTTATATTTGGTTTAATTAATAAATGCATTGTCTCACTTCTTGCAGGTTTTAAATGGTGCAAGAACACACAATTCACTCTCATTGTATTGTTCTCCTGCGTTCTCTGAAGCCTAAAATATGTAGGTATAGCAGTAAAAACCTGTTTGTTCTGAGCTTTTTCAAATCTACATTTTATCTGCTGAACATCTTTCTAACAGAGGCCAAAACGGTGACGTGACCCATAAAGAGCTCTTTGTCCCACTTAGTGGAAAAAACGACATCTTTGACCTCTTTCTCTCCAAGCCGAACAGGTTATTCATGAAGTGAGAACAGCTTTTTGTTGTTTCCAGCTGCCAGTCAGCCATCACTGATAGCCGACCACTCCATTCAGACAGAGAAAACAGAGAAGTAAAGACCTGAAAAGAGCAGCACTGGTTGGAAAAGTGAATTAAAAATGTCTCCACCTTAGCAGAACAAGGGACACTGAAACTTCTCAAGCTTTTTTTTTTTACCACTTCCCTGTCCTTAAAAAACATCTCCCTGTGTTCGGCCAGGACGTGACTGAGATGACAAAACTCCTTGGTGTTGGGCACGGTGAAAACTGACTGCTGGTCCTTCAAATGTCCCATTTATCGCGGTTTAAAGAGCTGCTTTTAGCAGGGGGGATCAGAGTTGTATCACAAAATGCTCCGTGTAAATGTAAGAAAATCAATAATCATGTAGGATTCAATAATCCGCTGAATGTTTTTTTGTCAGGGAAAACTTAATTTAGCTTTCTGGGTGCAAATATGATTGTTTTCTCAACACGTAGGCTACTATACTGTATTCTTCCACTGAAAGGATAAGCTAAAAATAACTGTTTTTCTTAATTTTTTACCATATCTAAGGATGCGTTATCATAATTGTCCACTAAAAGAGCATCTTAGAGGCCTATCTGTGACACTTCTCCATTGAATTGGAGATTTTATCATGTTTTACCTAAACTGAAGGGACAATAACGACACTTTTCAAACATGACTGCATTACCTCCTCAATCCAGGAGTAATCAGCCCTTTTTTGCGTTTTGTTTCATATTTGATTCATACTTTTATGATACTTCTATCAAATCAATATGATCAACAAATTACTAGAAAATATCTGAATACAGTCGGATAAATGATAAAAATCTCCTCTTGTGGTTCATCAGTTTCCAAAAACATCTAATGTATCAAACAAGATAAATAAATATATTTGTTAAATTTTAAGGACATTTTGGTTTTCAGTAGCGAGTAAAATAAACATTTCAGCTCCAAAATAAATTTAATTTTCTGGCCATAATTTGTGTTTTTAGGCATTGAAGGGTTAAAAACATTTTTCATGAAAGCCTAGATTGGTTACGTCTTATAAATAGCCTCATAACTTGGTGCCTTTATAATGTTCTTGCATGGTTTGGACCGGATCAATAGAGTGAGACTTTGATATTTTCAGCAGAGCGATCAGTTTGATCTTTGAAATCCTCTCAGATTGATCAGATTCACTCCTCCACCATCATGCTGTCACCTCTCTCTATTCCACTGGCCTGGCTCACATGTGCACAAACACTCACACTCACACAAAAATAAGATCATCCACACACAGATATCCTCAAACATTTTGATAACCCTCCTCCATCCTTGCTGTCTGGAGTGGCAGGGTCAAAAGATCAGCGATGACAACATGGCAGCTGTGATATCTTCCCCACACTCCCTCAGTCCAGAGCGGCATGAAGCAGAGGCTGTTTCCCGGGAAGAAGTGACCCGTGTCTGAAGGGGTGCTCTGTTGTCCAATCAGACGACTGCTGGAGCCTGGCGGCGCTACCTGCCCGGGCTGCAGGGCTTCTTTCCTCTGACAGACAACAGAGAAAGGAGGAGGCGTGACCAGGAAACTCATCATCTGCATCAGAAGGTGGACTGAGTGAGGAGTGAGGAAGATGATTGAGCAAAAGAGACAGAGACTCAAACAGAGACAAAATATACATGTTATATAAAGTAAAATAAAGAGATTATAGAAGCATGTTGAAAAAATAATGAATCTGCGTCTGTGTGTCTGAGGGGCTGAGGTGTTTTTCAGTCCTGTCTTTGTGTCTCTTTGGACCTGCAGATGCCATTCTCTGCATTTCTGATCTCTAGGCTGTCCCCCTATGAAGCGAACCATCCCCACACTGTTTCTTGGGTCTAATTACGCTGCACTCAGGGTTGCTTGAGGAAATAGCTCTGCAGCCTTTTGAAATCCTGGAAATGCCTTCAGTCTCATTTGAATCCCTCATCTGCTCTCCTTGAAATGTGAAGAAATGAAAGCATTCCTCTCCTCCTCGGCGTGAATGACGACATTTACAGACGGATCATAAATTCACGACCCTTTCACAGATTCTCCTCTTTTGTTTGTCTCACATGCCTCTATATGAACACACACACACACACACACACACACTCAAACCATGTTGTGTGTATTTGATATCAGATGGTTGTTAGTTAACATCACGATATTGTTTTAGCAACAGTTGGTTTAGTTTAACTTTAGCTTAGTGTGCAGCTAGCTGTTCCTTTAGCTAGTCTAATTTAGCAAGCTAACTAGTTAAAAGTAACTGTAAGACGGCTTGATAACTTTTAAAGGGATAGTCCGGCATAAAATTAATTAAGGGTAACATCGAGTTAGACACCCCCTCAAGAGATGAATGTTGCTGACCACTTGCTTCTCTAGTTATACCAACTTTAGTAACGACCGCATGATAGCAATACACAGCAGTCTAAGGAGCTATAAACAAACCTCAACCAAAACACCACTCTATAGCCACAAATAATGCTCAGAACAGCACCTAACTTCATCAACAGGACATATAGGGTCCCAGCCATAGTACTAGACACCAAACATCTTTTTAACTTTGACTAATTTCTTTAGCAAAGAGACTAAACACAACTCACCTACTCTCTTCCAGCAGCCACCTGTTTGTAGTGAGACCTCAGGCCAGTCCATTATGTACTACAGTGGGGTGACACAGCTCAAGGAAGAACATTTATGATAATTACTTCATAGAAATACAATCAGACCGAGACGCTAAGGCAGAAGAATAACCGCGTCTGCAGTGCAAAATGATGAATATGGTGATTATTACTTCAAGGAAATGATAAAGAAATGATCATAAATGTTCTTCCTTGAGCTGCGTCACCCCGCTGTAGTCTGTAATGGACCGGCCTGAGGTCTCGCTACAAACAAGCGGCTGCTGGAAGAGAGATGGTAAAAGTCAGATAAAAATAGATCGTTTGTCTTAAAACACAACTTTAGCATGTGGAGGACAAAATAAGCAAATACTGTTTTGCCAACAGGGGGTGCCAATTTTTCCACAGATTAAAGGATCTTCACAGGAGCTTTAAAGAAAGTGAATTAAAGAGCTTTTTCTATGTTTTTTGGTGAATAAGTAGTTTTCAATAATTCTACCTTGAACCAAAAGTAGCACTAACATAAGACCTGAAATTGTTCTAGAAAACTTAGTTGATCCACAAAACTATTAAATCTGTATAATTTTGTAACACACACATACATCTGTTGTCTATTAAAGTGGTATTTTTCAAAGATTCAACAATACGAAAATACAGAAGTTGGTAATCAGCTATAACTCAGGTAGAATAGACCCCGAAATTAAATAGGTAAAAGTAAATCTTTTAAAAAGTAAGTAAGTCTTTTTTATACTCACTAAAGTGTCCACAAGTTTAGAGTATTTTAGACGTGAGACGAACAGGAAACACTTTACATTAAGGTCCTTGTGAGAAGCATCAATTAACAGTTAATAAGCCACTTTTAAAACCTTTTATAAATGTTAATATATATAAATAAAAACATAATCAGAGGCAGAGTGTATTGAATAGTAATGCTGATTATCATTACATGCTTACATGGAAAACAAGGTCTACAGAATTGATGCTCAGTTTACTTTTAAAAATCTTTTTATTTATTAAATTGATAAAAGACTCTTCACAACAGACAGGCCAAATGTTGTCTTAGTAAAAACAACAAAGCTACAACAACAACAACAACAATAAAAAGAACTACAACAACAAGCTTGAAACATGCCTTGAGGTAAAATTTCAAATGTCATGTTTCGCTGCTGCTTTGGACTTGGAACAGGTGTGTCTGTCGGCAGGTGGAGAATCAGAGATTGGAGCCGGTCCGAGGAGGGCGACACCTGCTGGTTCTCCTCAGATCTCCTGCAGCAAGTTGGCGGGGAAGAAGCCGAGTTTACGACCCGTACTGACCTTCAGGTATCCGTTCACCTCCTCCCCTTTCTTCACCACAATCTGAGGGGAGACAACACAGAATAAGAAACATGGTAGGTCGGGATCTTTGGAGACTGTAGTCTTTGTTCTCCCTCCATGCTTTCCTGCACATAAGTGTGTCTTTGACCCTGGAATCAGAACTGAGAGGAAAACAAAGTTTTGAGTTGAAATGATATATAAGTTGTGAAAGTCAACATTTGAGAGAATTAACTACAGATTTATGAATACAGAGTCTCAAAGCTTGGAAGAACATACATATGGCTTAAGCCTCTCCCAGGATGGAGTCGTGACTTCATGCCTGACAAAGGAATTATATCAGCTGATTGTTAAGACTTTTCTAAAACCCTTAACACTTCAGTAAAAATACAGACAGGGTTGTATTTGATATTGCCAAAATATTTATGATTATTCCCCATTTTCAGAGTAACTCGGATCAGCCTTTGCATTTGCAGTCAAGTTCTGTTGATCATGTGTCTCAAATTTGCACCTCCACTTTCATACATGATGTAACCTCCTTGAACAAATATCAAGAACTAGACACTAAAAAACCATTTGCACCCCATGGTTACAAGATAACACAAAAACAGTTGCAGGTAGAAAAGCGTGACTCTGATGAGCTCCTACTTTTCCAAACCTGAAGGAAAAGTTTTCAGTGAAGGTTGGGGTTCATTTCCAGCAAGTGTTAAATTCACACAGCCGTGAGTTTACACAACAAGTCAAATCAGTCATCGTGATTCATCTGTCTCTGTATGTCAACATCAGGAACACTTGCATTAAGAGATGTCATGTCAGCAAACATCATGACCTTATTGTCTGGGATACTTCACTTCAGCTTTGTTCATTTCTTTTATGGACAGTATTTTTAGGTGCAGTCAGAGCGTTGAGAGGGTCGTGGCCACAGGATTGGGTCACTGCTTTTTGCAGATGATATGGTCCTATCGGCTTCATCGGGCCGTGACCTTCAGCTCTCACTGGATCGGTTCGCAGCTGAGTGTAAAGTGGTTGGGATGAGAATCAGCACCTCCAAATCTGAGTCCATGGTTCTCAGCCAGAGTGCCCTCTTCGGGTCAGAGATGAGATCCTGCCCCAAGTGGAGTAGTTCAAGTATCTCGAGGTCTTTTTCACTGGAGCGGGAAATCGACAGGCGGATTGATGCCGTGTCAGCATTGATGTGGATGCTACACAGATCTGTCATGGTAAAGAGGGAGCTGAGCTGAAAGGCAAAGCTCTCGATATGATGGTCAATCTACATTCCTACCCTCACCCATGGTTGCGAGCTGTGGGTGGTGACCGAAAGAACAAGATCGCGAGTACAAGTGGCTGAAATGACTCCACAGGGTGGCTGGGCTCTCCCTTAGAGATAGGGTGAGAAGTTCAGTCACTCGGGAGGGGCTCAGAGTAGAGCTGCTGCTCCTCCGCATTGAGAGGAGTCAGATGAGGTTGCTCGGGCATCTAATCAGGATGCTTCCCATACATCTCTCTGGTAAGGCACTCAGGGCACGTCCCACCGGTAGGAGACCGCGGGGAAGACCCAGGACATGCTGGAGAGACTGTGTCTCTCAGTTTGCCGGGGAACATCTTGTCTGGGCCTCTCCGCTCAGGCTGCTGCCCCCACAACCCGACCCCGGATAAGTGGTTGAAGATGGATGGATGTTGATTTAATTTTAATGCCATGCACATTTCCGCTAACTGTATTATCATTCTCTGAATACTTACACTGACAACACAAACAATGAGTAACAATTGCATGATGAAAAACGATTTCCCAAAACACATTCAGTCAAAAACATGAACAATGGCATGCTGGGCCACATATAGCTGCAATAAGTAAGCGGTGGGTTTAATCTGGCTCCATACAAATCAACCGGTCTATAGAGGACGTATTTGACAGCTGGTCAGACACTGATTTAGGCTGCATGTCCACATGGACTCTCCCTCCATGAAATGTGCACAAAGTAAACAACATATCGTGTGTTGATTCCACATGGAGGTACAACTAGGAGGTATTTATGGTTTAGTTATATAATCATGTGTTTTTATCTGCACAGGAGTCGATTTGTTGTGCGTCTGTATCTTTCTGGGTGAGTATGTGTGAACCTGGTCTTTCTTCAGGGTGATCTGTCCCATCTCTCTGTTGCCAACAAAGGAGCGAGTCACCTTGTAGACCATCTCTCCTGCTCTCACTCTGATGATGTAGTTGGCAGGTATGAAGCCTGTTCTCTCTCCGATCTTCCCCTGCATGGTGGAGAGACAAAAAAAAGAACTTTCACACTGAGTTTCTGCAGCTCCAGCTTCTGATGTCGAGCTGTTAGACACAATCATACTGTCCGCTGTGACGGTCTGATGGAAAATAGCTGGACGGACTACAGAGAGGAGGCTGAGCAGAGACCAACAGAGTGTTCCTGGAAGGTTTTGGCTCTGGTTCATGAATCCTTGCATTATAAAACTAGTTTAGATAATTATATAACCTGCTGTAAGCCAAACAAATCTATTTCAAAATATAGAAAAGATTCCATTCAAGTAGAAATAGTAAAAAAATACCCAAACTACTGTTGTTTTAGGAGATTTTTGAGGCCACATTGATTTATTTGATATATTTTACTTTTTGGGTTGAAAAGGGTTTTTTATTTTGTGAATTATTGATGTTGTGTGACACATAGTGTAAAACGGTTTCTTGTGCCTTGGCTTAGTGTGCATAGAGGCCAAGGTGCCCAGTGATGGGACAGGAACATAGACTGTATATACCATGGACAACTTGGCTCCGCCTTCTGTCATTACATGAATTTGAGGCCGAATTGCTCTCAGTATTTCAGGGATTTTCTCCACTTCCCGTAACCACAACTTGTGCAGTGGCATTGTACGCATTTGGCGGAAGAGTTGCTGTGATGACACTCTTCTCAAACAGCGTAACCCCTAGTGAGGTACGCAATCTTCGTACGCCAATAGGCTGTATCAAGTGTCAATCATAGAAAACATAAACCCCCTAATAACTTTTAAAAACAGAGCTGTACAGAAAAAAGAGGACTTGAGCACAAACCAGTCTTACAGTAACTACATGTCATCTGGATCTTTGAGTATATCTCAGTGACTTTATTTTGGACTGTAGGTCTCTACAGCCGATCTGGAAGTTAAAGGTGTAACCTTCGCTTCAGTAAATGCTCCAAAGATAATAATGTAAGGGCAAAAATCACACAACCAAGTTATGACCAAAATCGACTTAATTAATCCCCAAGCCAATCATAATCTTTGAAGGTAAATGGAACTATAAACATTGGTGTTATCTACAACAGTTCAGATTTTGGGGACTCACCCTCCACCATTCTTCGTTGGAGTCGTCTATCACTGTGATGCGGTCTCCAGCGCTTTAAAACACACAGGATGTGAGATTTAGAGGAAAAAATTAATATCTAGATATAACTATGACATAAACTAGAAGAGAAAGAGACACAGGTAAAGGGGAGGAGCTTACTGAACGTCCAGATCATCTTTCTCTATGGCTTTGAAGCGATACAGAGCCAGGTAGTAATGAGACTGACTGAACACTCCGATCTTTCCAGGCTGGACTTTTTTGCTCTAAAAACACAAAAAACAAATTCCAGTTACTCATTGAGAGTTTTCCCATCAGAGTTGACATCTTTGAAAACGAGGTCTCTGACCTTGTCATCAGCTGGAGCCTTTTCTCCTCTTTTGTCTCCTTCTGTGTTTGCTGGTGTACATCACAGTGAAGTCAAAGTCCAGCAGAAAATAGTTGGAAATATAAGAGAAACAAACATGCAGTTTAAACAGCTGATTTTCAGATTCAAAGCCTTCATTTGTATCTCCACCCTTCCTGAGCTCATCGTACATGTACCTGCTTCACCTCCTTCATCTTCCTGTTTGGGCTGCGACTCATCATCCTCCATCATCATCATCATCTGAGCAGAAAAGGAAAAACAACAGTGATGCAGTTAAACAAGTTCAGTCTGCATTAAGACTCAGGTTCAAAAGTAAAATTCAAAGTTGACTTTAAGTGGACAAAAAGTGACAGTGTAAGAGTGACAGTGAGGATGATGGAAAATAACGAGTACGATAACCTCACGTCAGGTTTAGGGATTGACATAATTTGTATTCTGACTCAAAAGTTTAAAGGAGGATAATAACACTACACAACAAACACCAGTTAAAGCTCCTGTAAGGAACTTTTTGTTATCTTAATTTGTGGACAAAGAAGTCTTTGCTTATGTTAACGTCCATAAACATAAGTAGTGTCTTCTGACGCTCATTCATCCTGCTGACTGTTGAGACTAGAATGAATGAATTATTGTGAATATTCAACATGGAAAACGTGAAAGTTACTGTTTTTTAGCTCCTCTGCTGACACCTTCCCCCTTGCACCAATTTAAAGCATCAAAAATGACAATATAAAATAGCCAATCTTGTCACTGATGGTCTTGTTTAATTATGTTTATCATAAAAAACATTGATATAGATTTTAACATATTTCACAAACATTTTAAAATTGCTTACAGGAGCTTTAAATGAGATATAACTGCACTAAAACTCACGTTCTTCTTGTCCTCAGATCCTTTTTTCCGCTCCTTGTTGGCCATGATCACACCAATACGCAGAGTTTCAAACACGGGGTCTGTGCGGTTGGATTGTGCTGCCGATCAGACAACATTAATCGATAAACAGAAAAGAAAATAGAGAAAAAAAATACAAAAGAAGACAGGAAGGTGTAACAAGAGGGTTTAAAACCTTAGCAATACCTGTGCCATTGAGCAAAAACAACTTCAAAGATGCTCTTTAGGCATTTATGGCCAAGTTTAAAAACTAAGGATGAAGTCATTTACTAACCATGATAAAACTACCAAGAACTTTTGTAAATAAACTGGATTAAAAGAACAGTTTGTGAAATATGACAAACTTCACACTGTTTTGGCAGATTGATCCTGCAGATTGGAGCACATTTTGACAAAACTAATTTCAAAGGATCAGGTGGTTTTATATTGATTTGTTTGATTTTAGTTGAATTTCTCTGTAAACGGCGTGGACTCACAAAAAGGCAGCAGCTGTGAGACCGTGGCGTTCTGCTGACTGCTGTAGAGAGGAGAGCTGTACGCTCTTCTGAACCCTGGAGGCTAAAAGAGCGAAAGAGAAGAGCACACTGAGGTCATGTCTTTGAAAATATCTGCTGTACATTTTTGGGGTTTTTAATTTGGACTCACAATTTTGCCAAAACACCTCTGGAACTCCACGTAGGACTGACACTGGTGGTGGATGCTGGTTTTGCAGTTCTTGCATCGTAACGCAAACTTATTGTTTACTGAGGAGAAAACAGAGTTAAATCATATCAGGAGAACTTGTGTTTACAGAGACACTGGTCATTGAGGAAACACAAAGAGTCATAACTGACATACACACTATCATGCGTGCGCAGACGTCACAGAATTTGGGTTTCTTGCAGTAGTGGTCCTTGAACTTATGAGGTCTGTCGTTGACCAGTTTGACCGGCTCTGGAGGAGCTTCCTCTCTTTCCTCCTCCTCTACCTCCTCATCATAGATGAAATAAACCTGAAGACAGAGAAAGATCTATAGTTTGAAGTATAAAAGAGGGATATAAAAGTGCAGTAATCATCTGATGGGAGGCCAAGGCCAAAATTATGAACTTTATTGTGGAGATTGTAATGACAGAAGTGTTTCTTCAGCGGCTGGGCAAACACCAACCCTCATTAAAAATAACAATAAGAAAACCATTAATCTGAGCACCAATGGTCTTATTTGTTTATCATCAAAAATCATCAGTATGAATTTCAGTTGATTTTGTAAGAAACTTCCAACAGGAGCTTTGATATAAAAATTCATGGCTTTATGACTACCACATATACTTAATATTTTGTCCCATTAGCACCACATTGTTAGAAGTATGAGGACTTTAAAAAAAGCTGAGATGAGTGGTATCCCTTAGTATCGAATTTCCCTTCAGAAACAATATCAATAAACCCTTCTTCTTCTTCTTCTTCTTCTTCTTCTTCTTCTTCTTCTCGTTCTTCACAACAGCATTATGTGGCCAACTGTTGGCTAAACTTATGACTTTAAAGATGACTTCACTACGGCATTGTTTTAACAGCTTTAATATTCCATCGTGTAAACAAATATTTGCTCATGTGGTGAGTTTTGTTTATTAGTTGGGGTGGGAGAAAAAAATCGATACAGCATAGTATCGCAATATTTTATCTGGTGATATATCATATCGTCTTATTGACCAAGTATTGATTTTTTTCAAATTGATTGCTAATATGAAGTTAAATCTATGGTAATAGAAAAATAAAATCAACTGTTTGTCCAGTGAGGTTGGCTGAGGTGACGTCATAAAGCAGAAGAAAGTTAGTATGACAAATATATATGAAGTCTGCAAGATGTGCTACATGGAAATAAAATACTGTGTAAATAAGACAAATATAAAGGAAAGACAAATGCTAAATTAGCTCAAGAGTTGAAAATATTGTATAAATCACAATATATTGTAACATAATACTCGCTGTATTGCAAAATGTTAAAAATTGCAATAATATCATATCGTGGGGCCACAAGTGATTCCCACCCCTATTTATTTCAAACACTAACAGCAAAGTCAGGAATTCCTTTTTCTTCTTTTCATACTTTGGTAAGAATGGAATGAAAAACATGACAACTTAAAGCTCCTGTAAGCAACTTTCAGCCAAAAAAACTTACAGTTTACAGTCAAGCACATCACTCACTGTGAATCTTTGCGGCTGAAAATGTAAAAGCAAAGGCTGATTGGCAAAATTAGTCACTTCATCTGACAACTTTCCCCACTAATGGTTTCAGACATAAAAATTACAGTGCTAAAACTGTCATTCTTTATGAACCATAAACACCGAATTCATCTTGTTTTGTTACAGGAGCTTTAAGTGCTTTGGAGTCAACAGGGTTACACTAAAAAAGTCCCAGTATCTCTCACTGACCACAGCCTGACAGGTTGATGTGACAATGATTCTATTAATACTAATCCAACTTCATCTGAGTCATATGGAGTCTGTCTGTAACACGTGAGCCAAAGCCACATACATGCAAAAGGATATCCAACACACAGCGCTGGGATTTTTTTTTCTGCTGAGTAGATTTAGTTTTGAGAGTGGCTCTGCTTCATATCTGAGATCATATTTTGTGCTGTTTTTATTCACACAAAGACACATATCCTCGTACCCACACATCCAAACACACTCACAAACCCGGGCGGGATTGTCTGACAGAGCTCAGATCTTTAAATAGACCTCAGCGGAGACCAACAGAATTCCCATCTGAATGTAACAAAGCCTGACACTGCTGCTCCTAAATATATGACTGCGATCTAGCCAAGCACACACACAAACACACACACACACACACACACACACACACACACACACACACACACACACACACACACACACACACACACATAAAAAGGGGCGCCTGACAGACTCAGATCAGGGTGCGACTCTTGGTCACAGGCAGGATTAGAGGTGTGCTGTGTCTGTCAAACTGTGGATTAACCCTACAATACCTGATAATCCACAGACAGTTCACACACAGTACAGCAGCATCGCTCTGTGACTCTATTTAGTGCCAATAAGTCACAGACAGACACACAACAACGCCTCAGTACCTCAGTCTACAGGGAGTTCACTCATTCAAACACACTTTGACAATAACTGATGAGAGATCTGAGAGAGCGTCTTATTTTAGATATTACAACCTGTGAGTGTTAAAGAAAATGTGCTGAATGAAAACAAACAAGAGTTGGATTCATATATAGAACTTAGGGAAGGATCTGAGATATGGATCATCTATTTCTTATTGACTTTAAAAGCATTAAATATATTTCTATTGAGTGCAAAAAATGCAGATGAATAATAGGTAATCTTTAGTTTCTAGATAACTGACTGGAGGATCAAATATTCATGTATTCATCATTATGATAATCATGATTATCCTCCAGATCAGTGGTTCTCAATTGGTGGGTCCCGACCTAAAAGGCCACATCCTGGATGGGTCGCGAACAGCTGGTCAAAAGAGTTAATATTTCATTATTTACCACTAGAAAGGTGTTCATGACGGGTAGGAAGCCTGGGGAGACCATCCAGGTGAATAGGGTAAAATTTTTAACAAACAGATATCACCATGAAACTTCCCAGGTTTATAACTTACATCAAGACAAATATTTTTTATATTACAAGTTTTGTCAAATGTTATGTTGGAATATGTAAATGAGGTAATATCTAATTAAATATGGAAATGTATGCAAATTAGTGTTAGATATTGACTCATTTAGATATTCAAAAATAACATTTGACAAAACTTGTAATACAAAAAATATTTGTCTTAATGTAAGTTATAAACCTGGGAAGTTTCATGGTGATATCTGTTAGTTAAAAATTTTACCCTATTCACCTGGGGTGTCTCCCCGGGCTTTCAGCCCATCATGGACACCATCGTGAAAAAGACACCTTTCTAGTGGTCAAACTTTGGTAAACTTTTAGTATGTTCTTAAGGACATCTAATACTATAAAAGACTGTTGAGAAACCTTTTGTTAGAATTTAGGGCCACATTTGTAGGGTTTCAAAAACTGTGTGTTTACCAAATTTCATGTACATCTCACTTGTCTGCTAGAATAAATCCATACAGCATATTTCACTAGTGAACAGTCTCTTGGACATTGGTTACTGGATATCTCACCGTGTTGTCTTCCTCTTTCACCACGTTATCAGGGAGAGGCGGGTTGTCATGAATATCCACAGAGTCCTTGTCATCCAGCCTGTCATCATCAGAGAGCAAATGTCACACTGAGATAAAGATGGAGTTTTAAATGGACCAGGAGTGAGATTACGATGAGAGTTTTCAACCATATGAGGGTCTGAGACTCTGCAAATCTTCATTTTGACCTTTTAAGAAGTTGTTTATTTATTGCTAATACTTTTCAGTCCTGTAAAATTTGGATTTCAATTATCTTTCAAATGTCAATGTGAGAAAAACACATTTTATCACACCTTTATCAGTCTGGGTCCTGTTTGCTAATTAAACTTACGAGTCATAATGAGCCATGGCCGAGGTGTAGTTCCTGCAGACACTCTGTGTAGACCACCAGATGGCACTGTAGGAGAAAAACACATAAGCATCACTTCAGCTGTGATTGAGGTTTTTCTAAATCATGTCTAAGTCAAATGATGAGCAGCTCTTTTCTACTAGTTTTTGGTACATGCTTACACTGATCAGTTATCCAGCTTTATGTTATTTTTATTAACAGGTTATCGAGTAGTTCATACTTAAGGAAATGCCGTACATTTTCAAAATATTACTGTTTGTTCTGGTGGGAGAATTTAATCTTAGCTTAATTAAAAATGGCACCTGGTACAAGACAAGCAGAGTGAAGAGATTTAAATGTTTGAAAACATGTTTAAGACATTTAGACAACTAAACATTTAACAAGTCAAAGTTTTAGTCAATGGTTCAAATTATTAAAAGAAAAGTCAGGATGTTCAATCAAACTATAAACTGACCGTTGACTCTTCTTCCTCCTAAATTGATGCTGCTCCTCAAAGGGGGTTCCTTCGATCTGCGCCTCTTTCTGACTTTTTATTTGAGTCTCGTTGTCCAGCTCAACTTTCCAAATGAGGCTCCAACAGGTGGGACTGCAAAACCACTAATACCAACACTCCCACCCTGATGGTCCAGCCCTGTCCAGCTCTGAATGTGTGTGTTTGGGTGTGTGTACATTCATGTGACTGTTTGGGACAGCTGAGCACTTAAAAAGCTGAAGAGCTCGACCAGCTGATGGTAGAAAAAAAAGAGTGGTCTGCTTGTCTGTTTGGGTTTGATTTACAGCCTACCAGCTAAAAAGCTGTTGATTTGTACTCAACCTGTGAGACATGAAGGCCTGAATAGATGAAGTTTTGATGCTTGAAAGTTCTGTACGTGTAAAAAAAAAGCCAAGAAAAACAGTTTTAACGAAAAATCAATATACAAAAGGCACAAAGTATCACATTATGTCACAATTAGTGAGAGAAAAAAGGTGCTTTTTACGCCACATGCATGTAAAAAGATCCCTAAAAAGGTTTACATATCATAGTTCAAAATATTGATTTAAAGATTTTTTATTTGAATACAATTGAGCTAAAAATCTCCTGCATAGTCTCTCCAAAGTGTAACCCCCTCTAGTCCCTCTGAAACTGTCACTTCTCATCAGCTAAATCAGGTTAAATCACCATTAAACCTGAACTCTGTGGTAAACTTAAAGCTCCTGTAAGAAACTGGTGCAGGGGGTAGGAGTCAACCAAGCAGTGAAGGAACAGCCCTATTTTTACATTTCACACACCAAGTACTTAAAATAAATTATTTCTTGATGATCAAAATTCAGCAGAATAAGATTTCTTTTGTCAGATAAAAAAAAAGTATGTAGAAGACGAGAAAAGTACGGAGGGTAACAAAGTCGACATAAACTAAAAGATGTTTTAAGAGGTTCTATTTTGCGTAACCATCGGCTCATTACCTGGTTACCAGCTTCTACCGTTACCAAAAAGAAGTTTGTTAAAGTATACTTCAAGTAAACTGTTTTTACATTAAGTATACTTTCAGTTTACTTTTTGTGGATTTTTCAGAGATATACTTAAAGTGAATGTTAAGTATACTTGGCTTGTACTAAGAATTACACTAAAAGTCTGAATATATTTAAACTATACTTAGACATACACTTTTGTTTAAGATATACTTAAGTATGTATTTGTGCCTAAGGGTTAAGTATACTTGGTCAGTGAATACTTCTGTACATCTTTTTAAGAGTATACTTTTATAGAGTATACTCTTAAAAAGATAAGCACTAAAGACCAAGTATACAAATAGAAGTAAACTTGTTACTATAGAAGTGAAAACTAGCAAACTAAAAGTATACCAAGAAGTTTACTTTAAAGTATGCTAAGTTTACTTTTATAAACTAAAAATAATCAAATTTAGTCCGAAGAAGTATTGAATTAGTATACTTTGTAGTACACTTAAAGTACATGGTCAGTAGTTTACTTGATATACTTATGCTCAAGCATACTTGATGAACTTTAAGTATACTACTTCTCGCTCAGGGTAAGTTTGGATTCTTAGCTTTGACAGATGGCTGCACTTCCACTCCTAATTCACTGATGGATTTATCGAGAACTAAACAATTTCATTCATGATTAAATCAAATTTCAGATTAAATTCAATCGAAGCATTAGCATTTTGAGTTTATATTTTTTTAGAGATGGCAGACAATAACAGCATTATCATGAGTAACGTTCCTCTTCCTGTTACTTCTCACTCTTATCAGTCCTGAAACACTGCCAAAGCTCCTACAGTGTTGTGGTTTTAGTTGCTCCATGTGTTTTCTTCAGTTTGGTAGACGTCTCCTCGATTAAGCTTTGTGTGTGTTTTAACAGCTTTGCTTTATTTCTGTGCTGTTTTCCCACTTCCTCTTCTTTACTCTCCTCTATGCTGCCTACAGATGCGATTGGAAAGTCATATTTTTATTGCACAGGAAAAGGTGCGATCATAAATAGTACCGTAAATGTGCCGTTACCATTTCTATCCATTGATTTGATTCGTGTGATCAGGTTGTCCCTAGCATGACTTTTAATAGTCGGCGTTAACAACCGTTGTTATGGAGTTCTGACCAATCAGAGTGGAAGCAGAAAAAAAGAAATACATCAGTGATGAGAAAGCCGACTGGTAGCAGCTGTGGATCATATTAAAGATATTTATAGAAACTGTAAACAGCGCCTCCATCAGGAACAAGATATCTGTGGTTTTATTATCCAGTAAAATGGCGATGTTTATCCCAGCACAATCTGCACACACGCTTCATAAATCCACACAAACATGAACCACATGACACCGGTGTTTTTGATAGATTTTTTCTCAACTTTTATATCTTTAAAAACAAACAAAAAATAACAGATTAAATAAAATTTACAGTAGACATATGCAATCATTGTGCACTTTTACTACTTCTTCTGATACGTTCTGCACAGCTGTCAACGAAAAACGCGAACACAACGGGGCGTCAGGGTGGAGTGGGGGGTGGGGGGGTGGGGGGCAGTTGTGGGAGAGAGGAGAGGACCAAAGAAGTGAGGTAGAGGGCAGCAAGGAGGAAACGAATGTCAGGGGGAAAGGGGAAGAGGGGAATAAAGAGGGAAAGAGTTAAGGATAAAGGAAGGCCGAAAGTTTTCACTCAGGGGAAAGAAAGAAAAATCACTGAATATATAGATTTCTTTTATTCCTTACATCACTTATATAAATATATTGAATCCCAAAAAACAAAAAAAGAAAAAAAAAAACTTCTGAGAAAAAAAAAAAAAAAACAGCGCAATACAGAAACCCACAACAGCAGTAAGGCAAACAGAAAGCAGGAGAGAAGAGAGCAGTGAGAGAGAGAGAGAGAGAGAGAGAAAGAGAGAGAAAGAGGATGAGAGGGACGGAGGAGCAGAGTTCAGAGGCAGTCTGAGACATGGCAAGAAAAAGGGAGGGAGGCAGTTGGGGTAAAGCAGAGAGATTGCGCATCTGTGCGTATGAAAATTTATAAATATGTGAGATTAAGAGACGACTGGGAGGTGGAGAGTTGAGAGAGGAGAGGAGGCGTCCGCAGGAAGAGGAGGAAAAGGAGGGAGAGTTTGGAGAGCGAAGAGAGAAGGAAGAGGGGGGAGAAGGTTTGACTGAGGTCGACTGTCCAGTGTGTTTTTGTTATGTGCTACGTGACCCTGTTGCCTGCGTTTGTGTGTTTTGTTGTCTCCTGGTTTGTTTGTTTGTTTGTGTGTGTGAGTGTGTGTGTGTTTTTAAATGGCAGCACACATTCCACGGCAACAGTGAAACACATGCTTGCGTGTCTTGTGTGCTCTTCTGCTATATAAATACAAAACAGAAACGATGAATAAAAACAAACGACAAAATCATATTTGCAACCGAACACCAGCCACCTCATGATTCACACCTTCTTCCCTTTTATACATTTGACACATAATTGAACTCAAGTTTTTTGTTGTTTTTGAATTGTACACTAAGAGCAGTCCCCCTCAGTCCTCCTTCCTTTTCCACCACTCCACCGAGAGTCTTTCTCACTGTCTCTTTGACTTCTTTCTTTCCTCCCCCTCTCTTTTCCTTTCACTGAGAGCTGGCTCTCTCCAGCACGCGCAGGTCATAGTTCTTTTTGGCGGCCCTCAGTTTGAAGAGGCTGGCCCCGCTGTTGTTTAGTTTGAAGGAAGCACTCTGTGCAGCCATGGTGCTGGGGAACACTGCCACTACCGTGTAGAGGTGAGCCGGGTCGCTGCTGTCGTTCTTTGCTCCCACAGCTGCCGCGCAGGCCCCGGCGACAGGCCCCACGACAGGACAAGGGCCGCAGCCCCCTGCTCCCCCTCGGCCTCCCTGAGGCTCCTTCAGCCACTGGATCTTGGCACCGCACATTGACAGCTGGTTGAAGAGCTTCTCAGCTTCTGGACGTGAAATCCCCTCTGGCAGGTCCGTTACCTCAAGTACCCGACTCACCACTGGACAAAGCGGACAAGGAGAGTCAGAGCGACACAAAACATCTTCGTGATGATTGTAAACTCTGAGAGCTACGACACGCTACAGTCACAAGATTTCACATCCATGTTCTTGTTTTTTCCAATTTATATCAAAAACAATCAACAAACCATCTCAGGTGAATAAAGGGAGCATTTTTAACTCATTCAGTGCCAACGATGGACTTGGACGGATTTTGATGGATTTTTCCGTTATTTTGTTTCCCACAAGAGGGCGCTCTTCCCAAACATGCGACTAAGTTTGGGGTCGTTCTGAACGCAGAAAAGCCGACGAATACATCAGTAAGAAGTGTGCCATGAAGTGTGCCGATTAGCCGAGTTGTAGAGAGTTTTTTCTCTAAGAGGAGAGTAGGAAAATGCCGAAGTCATTAGCCAAGAGCTAACGGTCTCGGTGCATCGGCTCCTGTGGACGCGGTGCTACCAGCTCTGGATCCAGTGGAGATCCAGGTACTGGAACCTCATATCGTTAGCAGACAATCAAACAATTTTCCAGCGTGTCATTGT